TCTAAAAATAAAAATCTCATGGATTATGTCCAATAAGCACAATGAAAAGTGAATTAGGAATGAAAAGAAAACTAAAATGTATTATTTCAAAATCTAACAAGATAAAGGCAAAATTACAATGGAAGTTGTAAACTCTGTTGATCAGAATCACAATGAAGACAGCATAGCAAATCTGCAGTGTGCAGTTAAATTGGTTTCAAAGAACAAATGTGGGTGATTAAATGTACTGAAGAAGAAGAAGAAGAAGAAGAAGAAGAAGAAGAAGAAGAGGAAGAAGGGGGAGGGGAGACGGAGGGGGAGAGGGTGGGGGAGAGAGAAGCGAGCAGGGCAGAGGGAGAAGAGATAGGATTCAGAGCTGCTCCTAGGTATGGAAGAACAGTCCTTCTGTTCAGTGCCATAGTGGAAAATAGGAAAGGATGGGAGGCATAGGAGTCACATTTTATGTTTGGTGATCAGCAGTTGAGGTAACTACCTAATGTTCCAAGGGGCAAACTGGCCTTATATCCAAGCACACTGTTGAGAGTTCCAGGAAGGTAGGAGTGAGGTTATAGACTAATGTTCAGAGGCATTAACTGACTTTCTCAAAAGCGTGTGGCTCTTATCAGGGTTAGTATTTAAATATGACCTTATGATCTCCCAGTGAATTTTTAACAAGCATTAATGCTTCCCTCAAAAAGCATAAATATGTAAGTGAAAATATGCATATATACATTATTTTGATAATGCAGCCCTTAAAAATGCCCATGAGCAAATCTACCTGGATAATCAAACAAAGCGTTGTTCATTTTCTTTTAAGAATGTAGATATTTTATTCGGTCTTCACTTGCCTCTTTGTAGAGATACTCATAAAGAATCTAGGAGTTGGTTTGAAACATAGAAGACAATTGAAACTGACATGAAGCTAAATGAATATACATTAGCTTTTAAGATGTTCTTATTAGCAGTGTGCCTTTCTGACTCTTCAATTGCTTAATGAGTTGTACTTAACTGCTGTTGTAGAAGGGGCCAGGGTACTGAGTTACAGAGAAAAGCACCCCAGGAAATCCAGAAACTTTGCCCTTTGAATTACTGTTGTACTTTTTTAAAATGCAAAGCTTGATAATACATTCTTTTGCATTGCCTCCTCACCCCAAGTCCTTTTTCTGTAAATTGAAGGCCCATTATAAACATCATCCTACAATGACCCTCATATTCCCCAAACGGTGGCCTCCTCACTCTCAAGACAAAGGTTGGAATATTTGAAAAAGCTTGACAAAAGAAAGGTTTGGTCAGGGGCGCCTGGGTGGTGGCTCAGTCAGTTAAGCCTATGACTCTTCATTTTGGCCCAGATCATGATCTCATAGTTTGTGGGTTTGAGTCCCGTGTGGAGCTCTGGGATGACAGTACGGAGTCTGCTTGGGATTCTCTCCCTCTCCCTCTGCCCTCACCCAGAATAAATAAATAATTTTTTTTAAAGGAAAGGTTTTTGTCAGTCTAGGAATCCTATTGTATTTCCTAAAGGTTTCATTCAGCACATTTTTAGCTTTGAAAACCTGGAGGAGGACTATCGTTTTGCCCACCCAACTTTTTTTTCATATCTTTGAGGTATAACTACATACAAATGTTCCTAAAAATGAAATAGATACTCAAAACAGTGGAGGGTGAAAGAACATGGAGAGAGTACACAGAGCAAATGAAATAAATTGGGGTGGCTGCTGGTTTGAGGATCAACCATTCTTCCAAGACCTTAGTTCAACCATAAATAAACTGGGGCACATTCAGAAGGGGAGGAATAACCTGTAGGCTTAGGCCTGATTGGAATCCCCTGCTTTTATACACTGCCACCTCCCCGTAAGTGTTTAAGGTTCTTGGACAAGCTCTCTCGTGGACACCGGAGGCCTTCTCTCTGCTGGTTGGTGGATTGTAAGGGCTTTGGAATTAGACTGAGCAGAAGAACAGTGGGAATTGTGAAACATGGACTCTGCCAACCAGTGAATCAGGAATCACCTTGAAAGGCAGGTGTTCTGAAGCCTTATCTCAAAGAAGGGCACTTAATTTTTTTTAATATTTATTTATTTTGAAAGAGAAAGAGCAAGCAGGGAAGGAGTAGAGAGAGGGAAAGAGAAAATCCCAAGCAGGCTCCGCACTCAATCTCACTAGCCCTGAGATCATGACCTGAGCCCAAGTCTGACGCTTAACCAATAAAGCCACCCAAGCATCCCAAGGATTTTGGCTGGTCTTTAGAAGTAGCTCAAAAGTAGCATTCTTCTTCTCTATTTTCATCTTCACTAGCATGACATAATTGATTTCCTGATGAGCACCACGGATTCAGAGGAAGACCAGATTGGTTTAATAACAGAAAAGAATACTAGCACAGCACTTGAAGGAGTAGGTTGTCAGGGTAATTCTTTTCTATACCACTCTGGGACTGTTCCTGACAGCTGTATTGTCTGAGATTCTTTGGAGTTCTTCATTTTAATTCCTGGACCCTTTGAATCCTCACTTCAGCAGTATTCATTTCAATTTTTGATGACTTTGCAAATAATCTTTGGTTTTTTGGATCTGTCTAAATACTTTTTGTCATAATGGTATCATTTGAAAACTACATTGTAAGTGTTTAACACTCCCATCTATCACGGCATGCATTGCTGGGCACAAATTCTGAGTCATTAAGCAAGTAATTGTCCTATTAGACTTATGTTACACTTAACGTTTGTTCTGGGTCCTTTAGGCACATCTCAACTTAATGTGTTAAATTGCAAATAATCTCCCATCCTCTTAAAGGATGAAAAATATTCACCGATATGTGAGCAGATCTGCAAGGGAAAATGCGGACAGTTACAAAAATGGCTGGTTTAGAGCACAGGCCCTGTTTCTGCAGTTGTTGTGGATTCTCTGAAACAAATACCCATTGTCAAGGGCGATCAGTAGTTTTTGTTGATAATGTCCATGTGAAAAATTGGCATCTGCATATTTTTCTAGTTAAAGAAATACTCCCAGAGCACTAATTTACTCTAATGATATAGACATCATTTGACTTGACAAAAACAAACAAAAAAACTGAGCGAAGTTCCATTTCCTATTTATGGGATGTAATATACAGAATTCAGTTGCAATGTTCACTGAAGTTTGAAAAAAAAGGAATTCAAACAAATGGAAAGCACAAGGATACTGTCATAAGGACTTTTTGCCCTGAATGGAAATTTGAATTTAATTACAAATAAGATTTATATGGATTTTCTGTAAACATTTAGAAAAGCACCCAGCCTTGTCTCTTTCTCTTCTATAACACTTCCACATCTTATTTGTATCCTATTATTGCTTAAACCAAACCCTTTTGCAGTTATTTGTTGATCAATCTTCCTCATCCACTAGAAAGATGTTTAGGACAGCCAACAAATAGCTATTGTTTCTAAATCCCTAGGATCTAGTCCAATGGCTTTCAAGCATTGTGTGAATATTGTATATGTGTTGAATTAATTGAATTGCTTTCTCTTTCCTGCAGTTGGAGATTATCTCACTTCCCACTGGTACCAATTGTACTTCCTGGTTTTTTTCTCCGTAAATCTCAAAGCACTTCGATTCAGTAACCATAAAGACAGTGTTTGATCATACAGTATGTATTGTTCTTTAGGTCTTTTATGAATGACTCAGTTGATTGATTCATTCACTCACTTATTAATTCATCTAATAATCAGATATTCCAGAACTTTCATTTTTTAAATTTATTTAATTTTTATTTATTTTTGAGAGGTAGAGAGAGAGGGCGTGTGGGGGAGGAGTAGAGAGTGAGGGGATACAGAATTTGAAGCAGGCTTCAGGCCACGAGCTGTCAACACAGAGCCCAACATGGGGCTCGAACTCACCAACTGTGAGATCATTACCTGAGCCAAGGTTGGACACCTAACCAACTGAGTCACCCAGGCTCTGCTAGAGTATTCATTTTTTTTAAGAATAGAAGATGCATCTCATATATAATTTTTGATCCCCGAAAATTCCTAGTCCAATGCTAAGTTTAGACACTAGTTGTGTAATTTCTGGTCAAGTTACTTAATACTCTTTGACTCAGTTTCCACTTGTATCAAATGGAAATCCAACAACATATTTTATTTGTGGTACAGATTAAATAAGTTCTATAGGTAAAGTGTAGTCACAGAATAGGTACTGTAACTGTTATTGTTATATTAGCTGACCAATAAAACCTTGCCTACTTGCCTGATCTCATACTTTATGACTGAGAGAAAACATTTAACAGTAGTGAGTTAAGAAAAAGTTTATCTGTTTTCTGAAGCTCATAAAGGGAAAATTTTCCCTTTTATAATCAGACAATAATTCCAAAGGTAAAAAGAAAACCGTATAGAGCATGGTGATGCATTTAAGCTCAATTATGAGGAATGAATGAATGAGTGTTAACTCTCTTGTTAAATACAGGAAGTAATGATGTTTTATTCTTAAAAATATAGTCATAATCCTTTAGAATTCCTGAAGTGGGAACAGAATGGCCAATCCAGCTTCACTTGATCTGGTTTGTTTCAATTACGCTTACCTGAATTTCTGAATTCATACTCATGGTAGTTTTTATTATCTTTAAATTGTTCTTTTAGGATACAGAAAGCTAAATGGAGAAGTTTCATATGTCTTTATTTGAGCCATAAAAATACTTTTAGGCCTTTATTAATTTGTGCATATTTTTCAACCAGTTTATTTCATATCCTTGAAAAAAAAAAAACAATTATAGGAGCACCTGGGTGGTTCAGTGAGTTAAGGGTCGAACTTAGGCTCAGGTCATGATCTCATGTCCATGAGTTCAAGCCCCACATTGGGCTTTGTACTGACAGCTCAGAGCCTGGAACCTGCTTAGGATTCTGTTTCTCCCTCTCTCTCTCTGCCCCTCCCCTGCTCACACTCTATCTCTCTGTCTCTCTCTCAAAAATGAATAAACATTAAAAAATAAAAAAAAAAAAAACCCGACTAAGTATAGATGGCAAAACAGGGCTAGGAGGGAATATGAAAGCTCTTACCTTATGTCCTAAATCTGCAACTTCCTCACTGTGTTCACCTTGAGCAAGTCATCTTTGGGTCCTCATTTGAAAATATGCTGTGCAGAAAAAGTGGAAAATGAGTGCCTCACACATTGTTCGGTACAATACACTTTCTCTAAAGGTTATCTGTCCCTCACCTCAACCCCAAGGCTTCTTTTGTGGAGCCCATTTATCTACTCAAAATAGAACAGTGAGTTTTCATTACTTTTATTTGAAATCCCAGCATTTGTTTTCCATAGAAAAGTAACTGGTATCATTGGCAACCATGCTTTATTAAAATTTTGTATTTGAAAATCATGCAAGATCCTTAAGAAACAACTGGTTGCATGTTCCTTCTAGAACATTAATCATCATTAGCACAGCCTGGCAACCTGATCACTGTTTTTTTTTTTTAAAGAATCTCTCCTTTTTCCAGGAACCCTCTTTTTCCATAGATGTTACATTTTAATTCTCCTAATCTTTGCTAAGATCTGAAATTCACCCTTCTCCAAAGTTTGCAAACACGGATTCTACCCTGACTCCTTGGGTACCCACATAACAAGTCTGAACTCCTTCTTTATACATTAGCCCTTACTACTTATCATCCAGCTGCCCCACGGCCTTCCTCATGATTTTATCCCTCTGAGGAAGCCTATAAATTGCTCTAAGGTCTGAAGTAAGTCATTTTCTGTCTTTGAATACTCCATTTATTCATCTAAAAGGACAGGTAATAATATCTCTTTTTCTTGATTGTGAGGAAAAAATGAAATGGTATATACCATTCAATAAATATTATAACCTATCATATACGAGGCATTAGTCTAGAAATTAGAGGTCGAACAGTGGACAAAATATACAAATTTTCTGCTCTCGTCACCTAACTTTCCTTTTCTTTTCTTTTTTAATCACTTCACTTTCTTATGGGAAGGCAGATAGTACACAACTTATAGTGAAGTCTAAAATATTAATAAAATAGGTAACAGGTGAGTAAGGAGTGATAAGTGCTTAAAAGAAAAAATGGAGTAGGGACCTATATGAAACATTGGGGCAGGAGTGTTAAATTTTAGATATGGTATACAAGGATAAATTAGGAGAAAAACAATATTTTAAGAGACCTGGAAGACATTGGGAAGGAACTAGATGGATTTTAGGAGGAAGAACATTTCAGGTAGTTGGAAAAGAGAACATGAAGATTTTGCAAAATCAATAAATGTTAAATCAAAAAATCAATAAATGTTAATATCTATTTTTCTACAGCAATGTTTTGAATATAACTCAAAAGTGGTCTCCAAACTTTCATTGATCATCCTAATGTTCAAATGTAGATCACTTATCCCAAAATATTTGCAATATGTATCTCTTTACTTGTTTAAAAGTTGCATACATGTACAATTATACGAATATAGCATGTATGGTATAAAATAAAAGCAAAACAAAATTGAAATAATAAGGATGAAAAAACAAATATATAAATTGAAATTACAATTTTGTCTTTTAAATTCAGAAATATCTGGGTGCCTGGGTGGCTCACTTGGTTAAATGTCTGACTTCAGCTTGGGTCATGATCTCAAGGTTTATGAGTTTTGAAGCCCCACTGTGGGCTCTGGGCTGACAGCTCAGAGCCTGGAAACTGCCTCAGATTCTATGTGTCTCCCTCTCTCTCTATCGCTTTCCTGCTCACACTCCATCTCTCTCTCTCTCAAAAATAAATAAACGTTAACATTTTTCTAGAAAAAAGAAACATCTTATATACTCTTAAATGCCAAATTTGTAGCCCAATGGATGTGGTTACTCTGCGTCACATTTTTATTTTTAAAACTATTGTTACACATGTTTCTTTAATGTTTTCAAGATGAATTATCAGAAATGGGGCGATTTAAAAATTTTACCATTGACTCCCCCGGGTAAAATTTTATTTTCATTCCTTTACTCTTCCTCCTCTGAAACATCAAACACAACTCTATATAAAGACTGAGTCTTACCTTCAAATCGGAATTTGAGAATTAGACTATTTAACACATCAAACATTCCTTTTGCTTACTGAAAGGCCCTGTGCCTGAGAGAACGAGGTGAATGTTACAGAGGGGACTTGCTTTTTCTTTAAGATCAGTGCAATCAAATTAGATTAAGAGTTGATATTTCTCCAGCAAGGTTGCTCGATGACGTGTAGTTGGACCCTCTCATGTATTGAATAGGAGGATAAAGTATGAAGGAGTCAAATTTTGCCAAACGCCACCTTTTGAGTCAGAAATAAATACAAATCTATGGGTTACCAGTCTGTATTTTAACCCTTTTCCAGTTGATAGTTCTATAAAAGCCATTGTCTTCAGAAAGCTAGTAGAATCTAAAGAAATAACTTTGTGAGATAATGACTGAAAATAAATAATCTCTCTCTTCTTTTTCTGTCTATTTATATTTGAGAGAGAGAGAGAGAGAGAGAGAGAGAGAATGAAGGGAAAGCAGAGTGTAAGGGAGACAGAGAATCTGAGACTGGCCCTGACAGTCTGTGGGACTCGGCCTCACAGACCATGAGAACCTGAGCCTAAATCAAGAGTCAGAGGCTCAGCTGAGACCACCCAGGTACCCCGATAGTTTCTCTTTTTAAATATTTGCAAAATGTTGTCAGAGGAAAGCACAAGAGGCCCAAGAAGAAAGCCTCCTAAAGACCTTCCCAGTGAGGACAAGTGTTTAGAAGAGCATTTCCTTGCAGGCATTCCTGTTGCCTGTATTACAATGGAGCCACAACTGTAAGCTCCTCCCCTCCCCCAAATAGTCTGATGTTATTTTATCAGATTGAGGGTAATTCACCAAAAAAGTGAAACGTGAATGATTTTGTGTTCTCAAGAGTCACATAGAAAGGTCAGAACCATCTTTTCTTTTCATAACGGGCAAGAAAGGAGGAGGTTAACAATGTCAAATTGCTACCCCACAGCTGACCATATTTCAACTATAAATTCCTTTAACCATCAAAACAAATTTGAGAGGAAAAATACATTATTTTCATTTGCATTTATAGATGAGAAAACTGAAGCCAAAAGAGTTAGGTACATTGTGCTCAGAGTCACTTAATGATTTTGTGGTTTCAGAGTTTCATATCCCCCACCCCCTACAATACTCAAATAGATATACCCACGCTTCTTTTCCTTAACTATATTTCCTGCTTTTTAATTTAACACGTTTTCTTAAATTCTTTACTCTTCCCGATAATAATTTTTGAAACTGGATGCAAAATAAAGTCTCCTCTTTGGGTCTTTCAAATGAAGTATGTCTCCCAAACTTAAGTGGGTCACTACCAAACATGATTTGCTAGAGAAACAATTCAAAAACAGAAGACTAAGATAGCATTTTGCCACCTAAATCATATTTTGGAGCCTATTTTACTTTCACTAGTGTCTAGTAAGGGAGCTCGTTACAGCAGCCCAGTTGACATAATGAGATATAATTATCCTTTCCCATTGTTCATTTAAAATTGTAATCGCAACTCAAATTACTGTACAATTTTAAAAAATCATAACACATAATTGTCATCTTTCAACATGTATATATTATAAAGTACCAATTTTTTCTTATGCGTATTTTTTGCCCTGAAATTCACTCATTATCCAAATAACACTTTGTTGTGTATGATTTATGCTTTTGATAACATATGGACTGCTTTCAGCTTGATAACCAGTCTCTAAGAAAGCCACCATAAATGTCTGTGCGTAAAATAACAACATATTTTGGTGCTTTAGCATGCTAGTTTCCAGAAACAGTTTATTCTGCCTGTACTGGTTGTTTAGTCCAGGCAGATAAATTATCTTTAAGATTCTTTTTTTTTATATTTGGGAGAGTTTATAAACCTAGGTTGTAGGTTTTTAAGTAACGGATTCTGGAATTGCTTGTCAGGATTTCATGCACTGGCAAGGTCTACAAAAAGATGATATGGATAGAAGCTTCAAAATACAATAGTGAATAATGTAGTGAGTCCAGAGAAAATGAAGGGCTTCCCAGCGAATGGCCCATATAGTCAGTAAGGTAACTGCATTAGCTGCTAGAACTGCTATGACAAAGTGCTACACAGTGAGTGACTTAAACCATGGAAATTCATTGTCTCACAGTTCTGGGGGCTGGAAGTCCAAGATTAAGATATTGACAAGTTGGTTCCTTGTGACATCTGTGAGGAATAATATGTGTGTCTCTCATGTAGCTTCTGGTGTTTTCTGGTAATTTTTGGTATATAGAAGTATCACTCTGACCTCTGTTTTATCTTCACATCTTGTTTTTCCTATATGTGTGTCTCTGTGTCCAAATTTCACCTTCTAATAAGGACACCAGTCACATTGGATTAAGAGTCCATCCGTAGCCCATATTGGGTTAAATCGTCATCTTAATTAGTTACAACTTCAATGACCCTATTTCCAAATAAAGGCACATGTTGAAGAACTGCAGGTTAGGACTTCATCAATGAGTTGAGGGGAACACAAATTCAATCTATGACATTAATGCTTTACTCTATGGATGCTTTACTCTATGCTTTACTTAATGCTTTACTCTATGGATAGCACTCTCAGGGAAACAATATAACAAGGGGAACACCTTTGTTTTCAAGGAGGTTATGTTGAATCCAAAAAGAACATAGTCTGATATTTTATTCACTAGTTTTGAACTTTTCTTCTCTTTTAGTGTATACTGTTATGGCTACAAGTCTCCTTCAAAGTACTGCTTTGGCTGTGTTTCACAAATTTTATTCTAACATATTTTCTTTCTTATTCCATTATAAACATTTTCTAAGTTTCTTTTTTTAACAGTACATCAGCTATTTAGAACTATTGTTATTATTGGTTATCATAAATCATAATCTATAAGATACATTTTGGAATTTGTTGATCGTTGCTTTTTGACAAATATATCTAATCACACTTGTTAGTGTTTTAGGGATGATTAAAATAATGTATATCCATCAGGTATATACATTCCTCAGTTGTACCAACTCTTATCCACAAAGTTCTACATTTGACAATTAGATCAAAGTTATTAAATATTTTGTTAAAATCTTCTATTTCACTTTTTTAAAAGATTTGCTCCCAAATGAAACCAATTTCTCCTTGCCTTAAAAATGGCCTGAAACATAGTTTAATTCACCACATGGCAGAAAGGAACTATTTAAAAAACTCAATATTACATATTAATTTTTAAGAGAAATGACTCATATAGAAGTCAAGAGTTGATAAACTATTTGCCAACTTTATATTTAAAAAATAAAATTTCAGAAGATATTAGAGAATAATAATTTCGACATGAGTATATCCTTCATCTTGATTGATAAAGTTTTAATATGAAAATGATTTTTACAGAATAATTTGAAAATTGTAGGCACTATGATTTTTCACCTCAAATCTCATTAACTGAACTAAAATCATACTAATTGTACAATATTACTGAGTATACAGTAGGGTTGCCAGATAAAATACATAATACCAAACTAAACTGAATTTCAGATAAACAACAAATATATTACTATGTCCCAAATATTGAATGGGGCATCCTTACACTAAAATACCTATTCATTGTTCTTATTAAATTCAAGTTTAATTAGATGTCTTATAGTTTAATTTTCTAAATCAAGGAGTTCTATCTTATCCTTTGTATTTAAGTTGCCACGGTTCATAATATCTCTTACAGATGCTTTTATCTTTCTCATTTCTGGATCCAAATAAGGTTCACATATAACATCTGATTGTCATGTCTTTGAGGCTCTTTTAATGTACAAGTTAATTTTAGAATTTAATGTAGACATTTTACATTGTTTTCTATTTTTTATGATGAATTTTAAAGACTTAAGGACAATGGTCTTATAGACTATACCACATGCTGAATGTCTATGATGGTTTGATTATAATCAAGTTAAACATTTTTGTGGGACTAATTCAGAGGTGGTATTTTATATTTCTTGTTAAATTATGTCAGGAGGCACATGATGTTAGTTGGCTCCATTCTATTGGTCCTGATATTAATATCTCAGTTAAGGTAAATTTTTTGATTTTTTGTTTGATCTTTCAGTTACTGAAAATTGTATTAAAATTTCCCACTATTATTGTATAATTATCAATTTCTCTTTGTAGAAAGATCATTCTTATTATTTTAGTCCATATTTAATCTATATTATAATTATACAAAATTTTTAATGTAGTTGGTAATATTTTTGTTCTTCTAAATAGTTTTACTCTTTTTTTAATGTTTTATTTATTTCTGAGAGACAGAGGCAGCATGAGCAGGGGTAGGGGGTCAGAGAGAGAGGGAGATACAGAATCCAAAACAGGCTCCAGGTTCTGAGCTGGCAGTTAGCACAGAGCCCGACGTGGGGCTCGAACTCATGAACCGTAAGATCATGACCTGAGTCGAAGTCGGACGTTTCTGAATAACCAACTGAACCACCCAGGCACCCCTAAATATTTTTACTCTTATTAACATGGCTATGTCATCACCTTGTTGGCTAGTATATAACACGGATCTTCTCCAATTGTTAGATTTTCTACCTGCCTCCTCTAGCAAGTTAGTTTCACTATTATAGAATTTTAATGTGAAAGTTACTTTATCATCCAATTGAATATAATTATTCACCATCCATGGTTTCTTCCATCAGTCTAAATACTTCCCCATTTCCTCCTTATCTATCTATCTATCTATCTGTCTGTCTATCTATCTATCTATCTATCTATCTATCTTTCTATCATCTATTTATATATCTGTTTTTATTTTGGAGGATCATTCTTTTCTTTCTATTTATTTTAGAATCTTTTTCTCTTCTTCCTCTTTTCCTTCTCTCTCTCTCTTCTTCTTCTTTCACATCTGTAGGTGTAGTACATCCATGCCCTTTCAGTGACACACCTTAAGATATTTTTACATTATTTTAGCATTTTAGTTTCATGTGTTGGATGGCCAATCGGATATCTAGTATCTCATACTTACGTAAATGAACGTTTCTTTTCTTTCTTTCTTTTCTTTTTTTGGATCTAAATTTATTCTTGCTCTTTTTTTATTCTTGTTTCTTTTTTAGTAGTCGTGTACATGTACTTTACTTGTTCGTTTTTTATTATACTTTCTTGGGTTGAGTTTTGTTCTTTCTCGACTGCTTATTTGAGTGAGGGTTGAAGGGAGGACCAGGGAAGTTTTATCATCTCCTAGGAAAGGAAATATTCCAGGGAAGCTCTTTAAGGTACATGGTTTCAAGAATGTGAAAGGGTCTTCATTTCCTTTTTTCTTTTTTTTTCTTTCCAAGATTTTATTTAAAGTCAAGTTAGTTAACATACAGTGTAATGTTGGTTTTTGGAGTAGATTTCAGTGACTCATCACTTTCATGTAACACCCAGTGCTCATTACAACAAGTACCCTCCTTAATGCCCATCCCATCCCCCCACCTCCAGCAACCCTCCTTTTATTCTCTATAATTAAGAGTCTCTTACAGCTTACCTCCCTCTCTGGATTTTCTTTTCTTTAAGCTGATAAAATTAGTCATTCTCCAGGGCTTCTTACAACTTGCAGGTTACTCTCCAACTTCGTTTAAATTCTAAAAACATGAAGATGTGCCTTTCCTTATTCATCTTATATTCTCAGTTAGCCCCTTATTCCCTACTGCTTTATGACATCAAAGAATATTCAGGAAGTTCTTACAGCACACCTCCCTTTATCCCAGTCTTGTTTCGGGCAGATATTGGGTGTTGCCCCTGGTTTGTGCTTTGCATTCTCTCCACATTACCTTAGGGTAGAATCGACCTCTTTCACTATGTCTGATGGCATACGGAAGGAAACATAAGAGTGGGTAAGAAGAGTCCCTTTTCAAATGCTCAGAACTTGAGTTGGAATCTGAGGGGAAGATTTCCTATAAATTAAAACATAAGAATTCATCTTATTTTGATGAAGCAAAACATTTTGGTAACATGACACGAGTAAAATATCTATTATATACTGAATCTTTTGCATAATTTATTCTACTTAATTGTCAGAGTCACTCTTTAAGACCAGTTAGATACTCTCTTGTAGCACCTCAGATATTTTGGCCATGTGACTGCTTATTCCATCCCGTTTACTATTTAAGCATCAAATTCTAGAAACACTTTCCATGGACCCAACCCAATGTGCATCACCCATTGTTATTGCTATACGGCTCTTCTATGTTGTCACCAAGGTGTGACAAGCCCCTCCCTGTACCCCCACGTGGGTAATCCGGAAGTTCACATGAATTAACATCCTGTGGAGTTAATTTGACTAATAGGAAACTGGAGTCTATGGGTAATTTCTTCTTCTATGGATAATATCTTCTCTCTCTCGTCAGGTGGGCCATTCTAAGAAGTGGCAGTTCATTGGACCTGTTGAAAGATGGCCCTATATACAAGCAATCGGTTGAGGTTGACACCAAGTAGTGACCACCTTTCCCTACCTTGCTTTGTCTTTACTTCGCGTCTGTTTCCCTGACACTTGATGCCTCACTGAAATCATTGTTATAAGTTTTGGCCTCAAATTTTGATTTCAGAGTATTCTAATCTAAGACAAATAAGAACAATGCCCAGGAAATTATGTAGCAGTCCAGAAATTTTTTAAAAAATGTTGTAAAGTTGAGGTTTTATTTCATTTTATTTTTTATTCTAAGGCTATTTCATTTTAAAATTACTACTCTACCACTTGCAGCAAAATCTCCATGACATTTAGAAAATTCAACTTTTCTAAGTTCTTTAAATTTGATTTTGAGATTTTAAAATGTTATTTGAACTTCTTTTTTAAAATTCTTCTTAATGAAAGCCTGGAACATAATAAAGATTTTGAAGTTCTTTGTGTCCTCTTCATGCAGCTGGGCCAGAGCAGTAGCCCCTTAAATCTTCAGGGGGAGGAAGAACAATTAGGTTGTCATCATAACCTCTTGGTGTCAAAGGAAAGTTTGATCCCATTGTTAAATGCTGACGTTTGTGGTGGTAACTGCTGAGCATTAAGAAGTTCTGTCTTCACTGCCAGAGGCTTATTAATGTTAAACTCTTGTCAGCTTGCCTAATCATAAGCAGCTTAAATGAGGGGGGAGGGAAACAGTGTTTCCAAATCTGAACCAAGTCTGTTATTTAAAGGAAAAGGATATGGAAATGACACTTCTCAAAGAAATGTTCTGCCCAGCAGTGATGTGATGTCCTAGATAATGAGTGTAAGCAATCACTGGGACCTTGATGAGTTATTTTGAAGAAAAAGAGATAGGAAAAAAAAAACCCACAAGACCTTAAATAATTTTAAAAAACAATAGATAAAAAGGCATGAGGCATATCTTTGGGTCTTCCACTCCTAAACGAAGCCCCTCTCTGCTCTAATATGAGGTCAGGCCAAAGTCAGGAGGAACTGTCATCAATAGATAGCACTAACTATTTAATTTGATGTGAGTGCATATATGCTATCATACATAATTAATGACAACATGAATAAACTTTTGAAATAGAATTGCATCCCAATTGCTAATCAAGTCGTTGCTCTTTCTGCAACTCACCTTTTGATTTGGGGCCAGCCACATACATGCCTGTTTATTCCTCAGTTTTCTCATCTCTAAAACAATGGCAGTGGGCCCACATGATCTATGTTCTTGCCTCGTTTTTATATGCATTTTATAACATGATTTGCATAGTGAAGACATATAGCTACAACACAAGAAAGCCATCGGTGCACTCTTCAGTAACCAGTGTGTAATTGATGTCCTTACAGTTGGCAGTGACAAAAATCCAATTCAATTGGATTAATACAAGAATGGAATTTTATTAGCTTACATCACTGAGAAGGATGCGGAAGACCTCACCTCAGGTAGGAACATAAATTCTAAGGAAGGTGGCGTGATGGTCTGTTTTCTCATGGCTCTGCCCTTTTCTCCATGCTGGGCTCTTCCTTGCCTGTTGCAGTTTGATATTCTCCACATGACAGAGAATGAGGACAAACGGTGTCCAGCTTCACATCTTCCTGATGCCCAACATAAGAGGTTTTTAGAACTGTTGTTAGAAAACCCCCAAGGTGGACTTGAATTGACCTCAATTGGGACTCATGACGATCTCTCAAGCAATGACTTGGGCTGTGTGGTCAGTGTTTCATCATATCCTAGACCAAGATGATTCATCCACTCTGAACTATCAGTGTCCATCTGTGGAGAAAAAAAATGGTATGAAGCTAGACAAATAAGTCATTAACACAGTTTAACATAGATTCACTCCCAGATACTTCAAGTAAGTCAAGAGTTTGCTTATTCTAATATAAAGCAAGCTACATTGCTTATGAATAAGAGATCTGATACAGTGTCTTGACATCTTCAACTCATCAGCATGAATCTCTACTTTAACCATTGTAAATCATTTCCAACTTTCTTGTAGGTCATAGCTTCTTATCCTTGTTTGGCTTTAACTCCTTCTTCTTTCCAAACCTGTAGTATGTCTATCCGTATCATTCTTCATCCACACATCCAGACTTCTGCCACCAAAAAAATGTTAAAACATATAAAAACCAAACTATACAAAATATAATAATTACCACACGTCTCTGGTTATATTGTTTCCCTCAATGCTGGAATAGGAGCATCTCTTCAAAGCTCCCACAGCTCCCTAGGATTCCCTCCCTATTGAACTTACCACACCACACAGTACATTTTCTTCCCTGACCCTACTAAACTTATGAATAAATAAGGGATGTTTTGATTGAAAATGACAGATATAAGTATTTTACTTAAAAAAGGAAATTATATTGAAAGGATCTCAGGAACTCCAGAATTCCAGATGTCTGTCTATGTATCTCTTGCCTTTGATGACTTTGTACGTCTGCTTCATGCTCACCTCTTCCAGACATGCTAAAATGTATGACTGTTGCTACCTTCCAAGCCACTTGCCATGTAGCTATGACTAATGACAAGGGTTTGCCTCTCTGTCCTTAGTTCCACTTTGAAAATCCCTAAGAGATCTTTTGGGTTTGTTCAGTGGGGTTTGGAACATATAAAAAATACGTGGCTGTTGGAAGATCTACACTATGTATTTAAAATAGTTGGCACATTATATTCAGCATATAAATTAATTCAAAGGGGGCATCATCACACTGGTACTATCTCAAGCTTAAACAGTGAGAAAAGTTTCCCATTTCAGCCTCATCTAATAGTTCCCAACTGGTGCAATCTTTGGCTCCTCCCTCCTTTTGTGAATCCTTAGGAACAATGGACTTTTCCAGGCATCAGTTCCTTGTACTTTCATCTGTATATAAATGTATTTTTATTGCGGGAATGTGAGCAAAAATCCCAATTTCAGATTAATTGCACAAATATTTCTTATAGGTTAATACTATAATCATTAATTTTTTTCCTATTGTATTTTTTCTAATATTTTTCTTCCCAGTCAAAAGAGGGTTTAAGAATTGAAAGGCCAGATCAGATGTGGAAGCATAACTAAAACTACAGGCCAAAAACAACCTGATTCTTGTCATAATATTCATGAGTGAATTATTAATAATAAGCACTTAAACATGTTCATCTAAATTATCTTGGAAACAAAATTAAAATACACCAATTACTTTCCATTAACATTAAAAGACAATAAATAAAAGGCCATGTTTGTAATAATTATAAGAAGTTCCAAATTTTTGTTTTAAATTTTTTTAATGTTTTATTTATTTCTGAGAGAGAGACAGTGTGATCAGGGGAGGGTCAGAGGGAGAGGGAGACACAGAAGCCGAAGCAGGCTCCAGGCTCCGAGCTGTCAGCACAGAGCCCATGCGGGGCTTGAACCCACAAACCGTGAGATCATGACCTGAGCTGAAGTCGGATGCTTAACCGACTAAGCCACCCAGGCGCCCGAAGAGGTTCCAAAGTTTAGTGCTGCATTCAACTTGTTATATTTTAGTTTTTCTTTTTGTTGAACCTCTGTGCCTCCATCTCTCAGTCATTCAATAAGAGTTTAATACTTTTCAACATAAGTCAAAGAGCTGGTATAATAACAACATACGTTTTCTTCTGTTTTAATATATGTATAACAAAGTGCCTGTTCTTCCATGTTAAGATTGTTTGCCTCTCATGCTCAAATAATGGTGTTTTCAAAATTTCTTTATAGGAGGCACAAAGTGGAGATATGTGGTTGGATCAAGATTTATGAACTTATCCGGAAGCTCTATTTGCATATCAAGCACATTCTTGTAACTTAGAGTGTAACTTATTAATTAAAAAAAATAGCAGAGTATTCTAATCATTGCTCTGTGAACTCTGCTCATAATTACTACATTATTTTTTCCTCCCATCAAAGCGTAAATACACCAAGGAAAGTTTCTTGATGGGCTAAAGGAGATTTGAGGGACATGGGTAAAGCACCCAAATCTTCCTTAGGACCAACGTCAACCCCATAACTCTCCACTCTCCACAGTTGCTGCTCCAAAATTCTGGGATTCATCCCAACAAAAAATTTGTGGAAAGAGTTGTTACATTTCTGATCCTAATTTCTTTCTCACTTCAGAATAAGGATGCCTCTGGAGAAGTGTCTTCATATCTTCTGTCCATTTCTTCACTGGATTATTTGCTTTTTGAGTGTGGAGTTTGGTGAGTTCCTTATAGATTTTGGATACTAGCCCTTTATCTGATATGTCATTTGCAACTATCGTTTCCCATTCCGTCGGTTGCCTATTAGTTTTATTGATTGTTTCTTTTGCCATGTGGAAGCTTTTTATCTTGATGAGGTCCCAGTAGTTCGTTTTTGCTCTTGATTCCCTTGCCTTGGAGATGTGTAAAGTAACAAATTGCTGCGGTTGAGGTCAAGGAGGTTGTTTCCGGCTTTCTCCTCTAAGGTTTTGATGGCTTCCTGTCTCACATTCAGGTCCTTTATCCATTTTGA